TTTTAAGACTAAAACATGCAAAACTTTATCTACTTCCCAGGTTATCTTAATCTAGTTATAAAAAAACCTTTCTGTCACTCTCATTTTATTTTAGAAGGGTGAAAATGGTTTTTGTTGGGGTAGGGGAAGAGAAAGTCGGCTAAAAAAATACGCTTGTCTGACCAACTACAATTTATGTGTGTATTGTTTGCTCTGAAGAGAGTATGGGGCAGGCTGCAGTGTTAAGATTTGCCATCATGCTAATGATGAAGGCAGAGGGTTTAGTCGGCCATGGTAAGCAGTATCTTTATGGTGACTGCAGCATGTGGCAGGGATGCTTTTTTTGTTTTGGGAATTCTCAAGATGGGTTAGCCTGTCACGGAGTGACCTTTAGTGGACCGGAAGGTAGGTATCCGCTATTGGGTTGGGTCCATAAAGATATTAAAAGACCATACTTGTGGCGGGATATGTGTTTTGTTCTTGTGTCTGCTAATATTACAGTAAACAGCAAAATCTTTTATTTCTTAATGTACTTGTAGGAGTATTCCCATTGATATCAGTGCAATTACTTGCGATTAAAGCTAAACATGCATATAATTCCATGTAGGGTTTGGGTCTCAGATGAATTTAACAGCAAGAGAAATTAAAAAAAAAAGATATTTTTGTGTCATGCATTACATGGCGTTGTTTTATATAGATATTTCAATACAAACCTTAGTTGTAGACACCTTTTCTAGATGTCTGATCCCTGTGTGGGATTTCTTACAGTGAAAAAGAGAGGTTGTAATAATACCTACCTCTTCCCTTGCACTTACCATCAGTAGGTCTGAGAGTGCTTTACGGTAGATTTCTCCTGTTCTGGCATTGAGAGGCCTGACAGGGAAAGGGGATGTGATTTGCTTGCTGTAGGTCACACAGTAAACTTCTGGGAGAAAGCAGGAATATAGCCTGGAAACATAGATTCCCTGCTTCTGCCCAGCCCAGTTCTGCATTTGTGATGCCCTCTGAAGAAGAAAATTCTTGTAGAAAGGACTGCAGCAAGTGGCAGGCAAGTTCAGGGGCAGATGTAGTAATTGAGAAAATATTTCAGAACATTTTTCTGTAATTGTCCATCATTAGTCCATCATTACTTTAATTTGTATTACAGCAAAGGCTTGGAAGTCACTCCTGGCATTGGAGTTTACCTGCAAAGCACTTGTGAATCTATCAAGTGAGGTGGAGAAGCCTGTTCTCTTGGTAGGTGACACAGCAAAAACAAAATGAGCAGGACAGGGAGGGAAGGGAACGTGCTGAGATTATTTGGCATGTCTCAGCTCCCTGCCCTGTCAGCTATACCTCTTGTGATTAGCTCAAAGTAAAGTTTACCCAAAAATGCAGGTATAGATTGAGTAGTCCTGGTTTTTTTTGTTTTTTTTAAGGGAACATGAAAAGCTGTCGATTTAAAAAAGTGTAAGAGTCGGCACAAACGAGCAATGTCTTTGTATGAAATAGGTGTTTAAGCAGAGTCTCAGTAGTTAGTGTTTAGCTGATTAGCCATGAGGAGACTTTACTCCGGTGGCTTTGCTGTTCTTCAGGGAAGCCAGGGGACATGGTTCATGGTCCATGGTCCACAGGGACCTGTCAGAATTCAACTCTGTGATAGCTTTAGTGTTTACATGGGCATTAAGTCAAAAAAGTGGTGGAGGACGTGTTTCATGCCATTTTTGTCTTTGAGTTAGTACCACCTTTAGCTCTCCTCAGGGTTATTTTCTCCAGCCTGTGTTCAGGATTGTTTGATCCCATGGAAGATTATGATCTGTGAATTGCTGATAGCTCCATACCATAGCTTATTCTCCTGAGTGTTCATGTAAAACAACTTTGCTCCAAGTAATTGACAGTTGCTTATTAAAACGCTCTTCTTCTACTGCCATGGACAAATTCACTTTCAAAAATGGTTATAGCACATTAAAGCCTGAAAGAAATTTTTGGGACTGTTCATCACTCTCTTTGTTTTAGTCATATATTAAATTAGCCACATACAAAAGCAGCCTTTTGGTTAAAGAATAGCTGCGATGAGGCTGCAGTTATGTGGGATTGTTTATTTATCAACCAGAAGTTTCACAAGGCTCTCTGTAATTCACTCCAGAGTAGTTCCTGGAAACTTAACATCAGAAGTAAGAGTTTGTTGGTTTTGTGTTGTGGTTTTTTTTTTTTTTTGGTTTGTGTGTTTTTTTTGGTTTTTTGGTGTGGTGTTTTTTTTTTTTTTTTTTTTTTTTTTTTTAGGGGGGTAGTTCTATAAAATAAAAAGTGGAGCCCTTCATGTCTTCCTCTTAATTTTTTTTCCAGGTGCCCCAGAGCAGGCTCAGTTCTTTCCTGGATAGTTTCAGCCTTAGCAGTGTAGGTATGTCCAAATGTAATTTGTCTCTCAGAATTTCAAACAAAATTAGCCCGACTGAGGACTTAGCTTCTCTATATGTCTCTGGGACTCCATCTCAAAACTGTTATTTGCCTTTGTTTTTCCTCTTCAGACTAGCAACCAAATCTGAACCACAAAGGTGGACTACAGACAGAAAATAAGACAAAATGGTCATTCATACCCATGCACGTCTGTCACAGCACTTCTGATTCAGTCCTCCACAGGGTGGAATATGTCATGTATTAAAAAGAGATCTTCAGATTCTTCCAGTACCTCTCATGGTCTTATATTGGTTTTGTGAAATGTTTTTGCTGCAAGTGGGGAGCTGCAGGCTTTGAAAAGCAACCTCACAGTGACAGGACTATTGTGGACTCTGGAGTTAAGTAGAGTTAAGTTGCAGAAGTATGTTTTATTAAAACATATGTTTTCCTTTCTACTTAAGTATTAATGCTGGAGACAGTGTATCTGTTACACGTGCAGTCATTTATTATTAACCATCACTGTATATAGTAAAGGTGCTTGCTTGGCAGCTGTAACACAGCATCTGGCCATATGTCAATATAACTATATCGACTATAGCTTTGGCAGCCAGCTGGAAAACCAGAATTTAATCAGAAAGCCTGGGCAAATAAGCCTGCATATAAATGTAAACCAATGCAGGTGTATTGTTCAAATGGCATTTAAAAGCCAGGAGGAAAAGCCTGCTCCGGCTGTTTCCAGGGTACAGCGGTGCCAGTCAGGATGAGAGACTGTTTAGTGCTGGCAAACCTCTGCTAGATCTGGTGCCTCGAAGGCATGAATCGCCTACCCAGCTAGATCTGGTGCCTTGAAGGTATAACTCGCCTACCAGAGCCTTGTGCCTGCCAGGAAACTGTGGCCTGGACTCTGATAGCTGGAGAGATGGGTGTGAGAGATGGAGGGGTGCTGGGGAGGGTTGATGCTTAAGACCATGGCAAACAACTCTCAAGGAAAATGTATGTGGTTGCTCTACAGCTTCTAGGTGCTGTTGTTTTCCTCTGAACTGAGGAGACTGTAAGTGGTCTTGGCAGGTTTTTGAGAAGGTTTCTGACTCTCACTTTATGTTCATGTTTTAAAGAAAAGTAGCAAAGAGTGTTGGGGGTTGCCTTCCTGACTGTCTCTTTCTTGCAGAAGGACTTTACTTTTATCTCTAGGTTGCAGCAAAGGCGGGGCAAAAAGAAAAACTCCCATTCCAGCATGTTAGTGTTCAAACACTTATTTTCTTTGCCTCCATTTTTCTTCAATTTCTGCCTTTAGTTAGGATTAGTTAGGCTTGTGTTGTGTCTGCTTCCAAAAGGTACTTCAGCACATACAGAGGTTAAAGTGCATAAGCGGTTTCCTGCGGAACAAAGGGTATTTATGCCTATGAATAGGCTGCTAAATTGGAGCATTTGTGCAGTTCTTCCCTTTTAAAAAAGATGCTAACAAAAGCCACACTGTTCAGTTTCTGCTTTCTCTGATCCAGGCAGATTTGTCTGGCTACTATGAGATTAGGATGTGGTGGCACAAGGCTCTAACATGTACCAGCACCCCAAGTACAGCATCTGCCAGGGCTCTGGATATTTGAAATTAGAGCTGTAGGGCTGGAAGGGACCTCAAGGTTTCAACTTGTTGATTTTGCAGTGACTGCTGCTGCCTCTCCAGTGTTTCCCTGAAAACTTCCTGTTGAGGAAGATATGCTAACCACCATCTCAGGGCTTTGCTGCTATAACAGGGAAAACATTTTCTGTGCTGCCTGATCCACAAGTCTCCTGCAAAGGGAGCTCTGGAGAACTTCATCCAGCCTGGTTTTTATGGTAGGGGAAAATACCAGGTTGAATCCTACAGCTTGAGGGGGATGAGGCTGCACAGCTCCGTGGCCCCTGGTCCAACCAGTAGTGAGGCTGAAAATGTATTTCCATTCAGCAGATGTACCCAGAGCATGTGTATACACCATGTACGCTTGTACATGGCTGGCCACACAGACCATAGGCAGAGCACTCACACGAACACAGACAGCAACAGCAGCGACATCATCTTCCCCTCTCTGGCTGAACAGGATGGAGGTCTGCTAGTGAGAATATATATGTGTACAAGCTGGATCCCTCCAGCAGCTGGGCTCAGACACTCTGTCTTGCCCAGTAGCTGCCCTTGAATCCCAGTCTCCCCAGTTGCTGGCCCCTGGCCGTATGAGTCCCCTTTTACTCTTAGGAGCAGTGGGAGGTGGCTGCTGGGTCTGTAGGAATTGTACTGTGTATTTTTTTTAAGTGGAAGGAAGGAAATTACATATGTTGGTGCTCAGGTTTGGTAGTTACCGATTTGATGTAAGCAAAGATCTGACAGGTATAGAAGGGGGTGCTGGAGAGAGGGAAAATTGCTGAAGAATTACTGTGGAAATTAAATGGTTCAGCTGTTGAGTATGCAAAAGCGAACTAACCTTGACAGCAGTATTTTCAGATTAAGTATTCATCTACAAAGTTTCTGCTGCTCTTAAGATACCTGTGGCAGTGAAGTGGTAGTCATTTGAAGTAGCACACTTTAAAAACCAGGCTGGGAGTGCTTCAGGAGACTCCCACATCACTGTTACGCTATTGCAGGTGACATTAGTTGCAAAATATTTTGATTTTAGATGTGAGTCACTCATTCATACCTGTGGAAACAAGACTGAAAACTGCAGGGAGAATGCACGAGGCTTACTGAAATCCTCCGTATATCATGAGAGAAGGTACCCGTTCTCATCCTGTAATGTCAAGATATGTAATGAAAAATTTTCTTGAAGGGCAGATAATTTGTTAAGTTCTGGCTTTTATCTTGCCTCTGCACTGGCGTTGCGTGGCCTTTGCCATGTTGCACAAAACAGACGTAAGCCTCGCTTCCCTAAAGCTTACCTCTGCGAGCGTTAGCAGTTTTGAGAGGTAGGGACTGAAGTTTCACTGTGATTGCGCTGGGGAGGAATGCATTTGCAGGGTGACTGATCCCTTTGGGCATTGCATGGTTTGCTGCTGAATAATCCTGTCTTACTGCTAAATTTTGCAAGAATCCTTCAGTTCAGAGCACTTTTTTTGCTACAGAGTAGTCTATTCAATGGAGAAAATAAGCAGCACAGGCATAGAAAGCTCAACAGAGCAGAAGGGTGACAACATGATGGTATGTTGGTGTAGGATTAATGATCTTCAGCCAGATGCCTTTCTCAGGTCTGCTTCTTGGTGTCGTGCAGGGATCATCTTCCTTAGTAAGAGGAGCCACTTGTTCTGGCCGTCAGTGGGGAATTGCTCCTGCACCAGTGGGCAGCCACGGTGCTCCCTGCCCTGGTGCAGAAGGAACCCTTGGTGGGGCTGGCAGGGCTACCTGCAACCGGACCAGGGTGGTTGCTGCTGGGCGGTGGGAGGCACTCTTCAGTCACAAGCTGTGAGCATGAAGGACAACCCCTTCTAATCTTCTCACCAACCCCTTTGCTTTCATACAGCCAGTTGACAAAGGGTGGAGAAAAAATGCTTTTGGACTCTGGTTGATATACTGTTTTATCACTTACTGTACAATTTTTCAGTACGACAGGAGCCAAAGTTCAGCAGCCTTGAAAATGCCTCTGAAATCTCTTTGTCAAAGCTTTAACTGAGGTCACTTATCTTAAGAAAAAGGCATGGAAGGCAGGCATGGCACTTTACCTTTTGGGCTGCTTCTTTCATCATTTTTGTACTTGAAAGATAACTGTAGCTGTTACCCTAGCATAAAGGTTTGAAGTAAGGAGTAAACTTCCATTATATTCATCTGGACTCTCAGATGAGTATTCTCTATTCTGCTCTTACCTGGTTCATGATCATTCCAAAAAAACCATCTTAATTTAGTTTTCTTCCTGAGCAGCTCCAAGATTTGTTGTGTGGGCAAAATGAGGGTAATAAAAAGCAGCAGCAGGGATGCAGACACAGTGATTTTTCTCTTGGCTATGCGCATAAGCAAAGGTTCTGTAATGTACATTTAGTAGCTGTCTCTTCCTGTGCGCGTACTGTATTAGCCTGCAAACCCTTGACCTGGACTGAATGTCTGGCTGCTATGGCAACAGGTTGCCTAGTAACAGGTTTTGTTCCTAGGTTGAAATCATCTTGCTTCTCTTAAATGTGACTTTTGGGGAGGTCAGAAGTTGTTCATCAGATGAAACTAGGAAAGTTTTTTCAAAGGGGAGGCAAAAATGTTGATGTTCAGCAACCTGAGCACCTGCAGAGAGAAGTCCTTTGGTCGTGGCAGCGGAAGAAGGTAGTTGGCTCCCCCACCTTCTCCACTTCATTGAAGCAGAGGTCAGTAGCTCACCAGGAAAGAAAAGCAGTTCTTGGAAACAAGATGACTGTAGGAGCTTCGGAGAAATTTGTCTGCTGTGCGACTCCCACTCCCAATCCCACTGAAGGCAGTAGGCAAATATTAACAGCTTAACACTCCAGTAACCTTGAAAATTTCTGAACTAAGCCCTTGATCGGCTGCTTTCCAGCTGGACTGCTTCTAGACCTCTGCTGACCTGGTCCTGATTCACACTGGAGCCCTTTATGAATCTAAATTTTAAAGAATTAGAACCATATGCTTCAGAAGAGCAGGTTTTTTGCTTTTTTTTATGGCTCTGCTTGGCAAGGTCCTGTGGGAGACTGCCCTGGGGCGCAGAGGGGCTGAGGTTGATCTATAGGGATGGCCCCCCCCAGAGCACAAGTGCCTTGCTCCAGTGTGCTGCAAGCAGAGCCAAGCATGGCCGAAAGCTGGTACAGATTGGTAGGGACCTTCTGACTGAGCTCAAACACAAAAATAAAGTCCACAAGCTGGGAGGGACTATCCGGGAGTGACACAGAGACAGTGGCCAAGCTTGCAGGGACAGATCTGGGAAAGGCAAAGCTCAGCTGAAGCTGAAACAAGCTATGGGAAGGGTTTCTCTGGGTACATGGCAACAAAATGAAGGATAACAAAATATGAGCCTGTTGCTCAGTGGGGCCGGGGTGAAGGAAATTAAAGGTACTTGATGCCTTTTTTTCCTGTGGCTAGTGGTCTGTGGACAGACTAGTAAGGTCTGTCCTTGGACCTCCTGGGTTTCTGAGTCTAACAGGGTCTGTGGGAATGTAGCATTACCCACAGCAGAGGAAGACGGTGACATAGCTCTTGGGGTAATTGGAAGTACAGCAGCCCCTGGCACCAGTCAAGGTACATCCAAGGGTGCTAAGGGACTTGAATGATATTACTGTGAAGCCACTGGCCATCAGGGCAGGTTCCTGGTGACTGGAAAAGGGCAAGTCTTGCACTCATCTTCAATACTCTTAAATGTCTTTATTAACCACCTGGACAATAGGATGGAGAGCAGCTTCAGCAAGTCTGTGGATGAAGTCAAACTGGGGGGAGTGGTCAATATACCAGAGGGGCCTGGGCAGGCTGGAGAAACAGCAGACAGGAACATCATGAAGTTCAGCAAAGGTAAACATAGAGTCCCTTGTCCAGGGTGGAATAACCCTGTGCACCAGTACAGGTTGGGGACTGCCTGGCTGGAAAGTTAGAAAGTGCCCTGCAGATGCTGGTGGACAGGGTGAATCTCTGGCCACAGCCTGCTCTTCTGGCAAAGGCGGCCAATTGTGTCCTGCACTGCATTAGCAACAGTGCAGCCAACAGGACCTGGCTACGCCTGCAATGCTGGGTCCAGTTTTGTGTACCCTAGTCTGAGAAATAAGTTAAATACAGGAGTGAGTCTGGTGGAGAGCCACCAAGATGGTTGGAGGCTGGAGCAGATGATGAATGAGGAGAGGCTTACGGACCTGAGTTTGTCCACCCTCCAGAAAAGAAGGGTAAGGGGTGTATTATTGCTGCCTACAGCCTTCTGATGGGAGGATGTAGGGGAGCTGGGGCCACGCTCTTTTGGGAGATGTATAATGAAATGGCAAAAGGCAACGCGGGAAGCTTCTTGAGTAGATAGTAAAAAGTTCTTGCTGTGAGGGTGGTCAAGCACTGCAGCAGGGGCCCTGGGTAGTTGCTGGATTCTCATCTGTGGGGACAGTCAGAACTCAGCGTGGCCCTGGTGTGGCTGAGTGGGGTTTGGATTAGGTGACTTCCAGGGGCTCCTTCCGGCCACGATCATTCTGCAAGTCTCAGTCTCTTTTCTCTTTGGCCACAGAGGAAAGCAAGTGTAACTGAGAGCCCAGACCAGGGCTTTGCCTGTGGGTGAAACGGAAAAGGGTTGTGTGGTTATGTTGCCCTCTTTTTTTCCCCCCCTCTCTCTCAGCCCTGTACCTCTCTCTTCCCTGGTGAGCAGTGTCGTCATGCTATGCCTCAAATACTTGGTACTGACATGTCACTGTAATCCCCCTAGAGAACTCTTCCAGTATCACTCATTTCTTCTTTAATATTAAACACACCACTGTGTGTTTTACCGTTGTAACCTTTTGGCATGTATAAAGTAAGCAGAGTTCAGCACTGACAGGAATATATACCTAGGCAGGAGCTATAGGAAAAGAAAATCCAGACATGACATGTGATTGGAGAGGGGCTTTCTTTTATTTTTTTTTTTTTTTCTTTTTGCCAGTTGATGTAATTTCTTAGCAGTTGTTAACCTCTAGCACCGTCAGAACAGTCACTTACAGCTGTGCTGCTGCACTGTGATCCTGTCAGACAAGAGGCACAAGGAGTGAAGTGAGGTTGTCCACTTACCCATTTAAGTCTCGGAACTATTTGAAGGGCTGCAGCCAGGTAGTGGAAGCGATCGAAAGAGTTCACTAGGGTGAAGAGACTGGCAGTGGCAAAGAAGAGAACACTGAAACAGAAGGAACAGTTTGAAGGGCTGCTGTCATAGGATGGAAGGAACAAAAAAGAGTCTGACTTGGCTTGGTTTTAGGCCGGTGTTCCTGTAAATCTTAAAATTACTTTGCAAAGTGTTGCTATTCCTCAGGGTGGTGGAACAGTGCAGGTTTGAAAGGTTACACCAGTTGCCCAGTGCTTCCGCAAATCAATGGCAAATCATAAAACCAACAGAAGAATTTATTACCAAGTGGCCCAGCAGCCTGGCCAGCGAGTGCAATACCTGGTTCGTCCTCCATATGATGCAATTGTGGCAGGAATGTGCTTTTGGGAGATGTAAATCTTGAGGACATGCCTGCTTGTCATTAAAGAGATGACAGAGCTTTCTTCATGCATGGAAATGTCAAGCAAGCATCTTGACCAAATTATCAGATGGTTGGTTGCATCTTGACATTGTAGGACGTGCCAGTGGTTGCATGGGAAAGAAAAGATGCTCTTTGCTTCCTGTCCCGAAGTATTCCGGCTATGCTGCTGTGCACTGTGAATGTCCATGTGGCAGTCTGGAGCAGGCTGTACTGCAGATGCTCAGGAAGTCAGCAGGGTTTATATAAAGCTCTGCTGGGTTTGCAGAACCTTTTGGCTCCTTTCCAGCATGGAAGCGGTGATATAAATAGAAGAATGTCTCACTTTTGAAGTCTGCCTTCTATTCACGGAAAGGAAGAACTTTGTGATGGAGCTGTGATAGAATAGCTGTTAAATATGTCTCAAGACCAGTCCTGTGACAGA